CAGTATTACCCTGACACCAAAGCCAGACAAGGACATCACAAAAGAAAGCCAAAACCCTTATAATATCCCTTATGAACATACATGCAAAAATCCTCAAGAAAATACTAGCAAACAGAGTTGAGCAACATAAGTATATTAAGGGGATGGTATACTATGACTAAGATTTATTCCCTGAGGGCAGGGTGGTTCAAAAGCAATATATCATTCACTCTGGCATACTTTAGTAAAAGAATGAAGGAGAAAAAACAACAGATTACCTCAATTGATGCTGAAGAAAACATTTGATAAAATTCAATACCCATTCATGACAGAAAACACTCAACAAACTAGGAATAGAAGGAAACCACCTCATTGAAATAAAAGCCAGATAGGGAAAATCTGTAACTAAAACCATAATCTTTGGTGAAAATTCACAGCTTTTCTTCTAAGATCAGGAATAAAGCAAGGATGCCTGCTTTTACTACTTCTATTCAGCTAGCATTCCTAGCCAGAGGACTTAGATAAGAAAAAGAAATAGAAGGCATACAAATGGGAAAGCGAGAAGTAAAATTACCTCTGTTCACAGATGACACAATCTTGTATGTATAAATTTCCAAGGATTCCACCCAAAAGTGATAGAACTAACAGATAAAGTCAGCAATTGCAGGATACAAAATCAACACTCAAAAATTGGTGTTGACAATGAACGATCCAAAAAGGAAATTAAAATATTCATTTACAATAGCATCAAAGAGAATAAAACAGGAATAAATTAGTTTCAGAGGTACAAGAATTCTACAAAAAACTTCACTACATCACTGAAAGAAGTTAAAAAATTAAATAAATGGAAACATGTTCATGATTGGAGACTTATTAAGATGGCAAAATTCTATTCAATGTAGTCCCTATCCAAATGTCAGTGGCCTTTTCTTACAAAGTATCACAACCTGATTCTATAATTTGCATAAAATATAAAAGAACCCCAAATTATGAAAGCAATATGCATAAAGTAGAACAAAGTTGGAGAATTGATACTTCCTGATTTCAAAATATACTATAAAGGATATACAGGAATCAAATAGTGTGGTCTAGGCAGAAGGACACACATATAGACCAATGTGAGTCTAAGAATAAATTCATATACCTATGGCTAAGCAATTTTCAACAAGAGTTGCAATACAATACAATGGGAGAAAGAATAATCTCTTCAATAAATGCTTGGACAACTGGATAGCCATGTGCAAAAGAATGAAGTTGGAAACCTACTTCACTTTGTCTATAAAAATCAATTCAAAATACATCAAAAAAAATTTTTTTGAGACAGAGTCTCAAGCTGTTGCCCTGGGTAGAGTGCTATGGCATCACAGCTCACAGCATCTTCTAACTCTTGGGCTCAAGTGATCCTCTTGCCTCAGTTTTTCTATTTTAGTAGAGATGGAGTCTCACTTTTTGCTCAGGCTGGTCTTGAACTTGTGAGCTCAAGCAATCCACCCACCTTGGCCTCCCAGAATGCTAGGATTACAGGCATGAACCACCGTGTCAGGTCAATAGATCAAAAATTTAAGTATAAGAGCTGAAACTATATTGGCTCAGGTGCCTGTAGCTCAAGTGGGTAAGGCACCAGCCACATATACCAGAGCTGGTGGGTTTGAATCCAGCCTGGG